CTCTTCTCCTCCTCCTCCTTCTACTCCTCCTTCTCCTAATCTTCCTCCTCTCTTCTTCCTCCTCCTCCTCCCCCTTCTTCTCAGGAGCGTAGTCATCGAGGCTCGCGGCGAGACTCACTGATGCCCGCGTGTTTTCCTTAGGATAGTCACATTGGGAAGTTGTGCATCCTTCTCCTCCTCCACCTCCTCTTCCTCCTTCTTTTGACGTTGCCCCGACATGAAGCGCAAGCTTGACGCGTTCCAATGCAGGAAACAACCGCCGACTTAGCGGAGCGGACAGCACATTGATCTAGCCGGCAAAGAGAGGCAACAATAACAGAACAGAAGAGTTCCTTTGAGCATGCGCCAGCCAGGCATCCCTGCTCCAAATAGCCACCCACATCCCCCCTAGTTTATCCAGGCAGGTCGTGCCAAGGCAAACAACGTGTGCAGTGCGGATACAAGGATAACACATACAGGCGACTCTAGAACTTGGTGCAAAGAGAGTTAGAACGAAGAGGAACTCATAAGGAACAGGGGAACGAAGGTAGAGTGGAGTGTATGATGATCGAGACTGAAGCTGCAAACTGGACCGTAAAAACGAGAATGCAAGCATGGCGGCAATTCTGGGGCTGCTACCCAGGGTGTTACGGTTCACGCCAAACCTCCGGGGCCTCGGGACCCTAGTGTTTTTCGTTAACTGTTTTCGGGTTTTGCACGAACCCTTGTTACCAAGAGGCTGGCGCAATGTAGCTTGGCTGGCATGTGTAGTCGGTTCAATCGGGGGGCGCGCCTTGTATCCAGGGGGCCTGAAAGGTAGAGTATATTCATCTGCTGCAAACTGTGTAGGCTGGCCTGTTGGGACAATGCAATGATGTAAAGGCTGGCCTATGGCGAAATATATTCAAGCTTGTCTGATATGCGATGCTGACATGCAGCAGCACACTGGACAGAGGTGATGGCAGAGATAGGTCTCACATGAGGCTGCGAGGATGGGGCTGCAAGTAGGGTCGGCTGCGAGGGCGGTGTGGAGATCCTCCCCCCCCCCCGATGCGAACAAAACATACCCGTAGCCACTCTGGCCCCAGAGACAGGACAGCAAGCTGACGAACGAGTGGTGGAAGGTATTGTCGTTCTACAATGTGGGGCCACACTCTCTAAGGGGGGGCCTGACATGCGCTGTGTGAGCTGATGGGCTTGAGTAGACACTACGTAAGAGCCTTGTCACGCTGCGAGGATGGCTCTGCCTGGCCGTGAGCAGTGGGCGTATGAGGCTGTCACGCGCTAGTGTGTCCTGTATGGCTGGAACGTAGGAAGGTGCCGGTGGTTGGACACTGACAGTGGAGGTGGGTGATAGAATCGTGTGCGCAGTAGCTGAAAAGCAGGATGTGCGACTGCGGTTTGATGTGAGCAACCATCCGTCCCGGACCACATCCCAAACATCCCAGCCCAAACTCCACCCCATCCAATTAAGAGTATAGGCTGGAGTAGTGGCATCAGTTCAGAGCTGAAGTACGGCGGCCCGATGCTGAGGTGTTGAGAGGAAGCTAAGTGCCTACGGTAGTCCTTGTATGATAGGTTGATATGCATGCTGACATACAGCAGCAAATAGCCCAGCCGTCCACCCAATCCCCAATATCCCACCCCCGATGACCTAAACCTAATCCCAACCCCGAGTCCTGTTAATGGACCGGCGCTGCCTGGTCCAATTTGTAACGGCCTGGGCGTGATGGCAGAAGCAAGGTGAGCTGAAATGACAGTGCAGCAATGCGCATGATGCCTGCAAGGGCAGAGGGGACTGGCAACTGTGAATCTCTGTGTGGCCAAATGGGGCCACTCCTGCAAGAAGGGAGCCTAAAAGATGTAAGCGTCAAGCGCAGAAGCTCCTGATGGCAGATGGCGTACCTGCTGCGGCTCGTCAGCAGCCAGCAATGACGGGGAAGCAGAGGGGGCGAGTGCGTTCGCGCGCGGACATACGGGACCTCGGCCTTCACCAGCTATCAGCGTGGCACGGCCCCTGGGGGGGGAAGAGTAGCCTTCAGCGGCCGAGTGAGCGGGGAAGGCGGGAGAAGTAGGAAAGACGAACGGCCGAACGGCGGACGCCAGGAAGATAGCAGGAGGAGCCCTGGCAACAAAATACCAGGGAGTGGAAAGGGCAGAAGGGGTACCGTCAGAAATCCTCATTCCGCGGCAATTGAATTTCTGGCGGTTGCTGTGGTAGATGCAGCGAGGTCGTAGATTCTGCAATCTCTGCCGTGATACTGTCCCGCTTATGGTAGCCAGAAAAGACCACAGCATGTGTGGCAGGCAAATCTGCTACCCCCCAATAATCGTTGCCGTCCGCCTGTAGTGTTTGGAACATTGGCTTCGGTGTGGGTGGCGCCTTGTGTTCGGGTGCTGGGAACTTAGGCTTTGGGATGGTTGGCGCTGCCATGGCGGTGGATACTTCTTGTCGTTGTCGTAGTTCTGGTTGGCGTAAGGCGCGCTGTCTGACAAGTGTTGCTGGTATTGCTGGTGGTGGTTGCGGATCGTCTCGATGTAGTCCAAGAGCCTTTGGTCGTTGCTGTCGTGGACGTAGTGTTTGTCTAGTTGCTCAGTGTTTGGGGGCATTGGAGTGGATCCCGCTTGTCTGTCTTGGAAATGTATGGGGGGTGCTTTTGGTTGGAAGTGGATCTGCTTTGTGGCACACGTTTGATGTGCTAGCTCTGATGTGGGTGTTTCATTTATCCAGCGCTCAGCCCTTCCAGCCTCTGGTGGTGGGCAAACGATGGGGATTCTGAGGCTAGGTGGAGGTGGGTAAATTAGGTTTCTGATCCTATGTGTGGTGCTGGACTGCTGAATCTTACTTAGGTTGGTCGTTGGTGCTGGCTGATTTGGCGTGTCAGCGCCTGCCTGTAGTGTATCTGCTGATGGTTGTTGTGCTGGTTGCGGTGCGTCATCAGTGGTGTCTTAGCTGGAGTAAGGGCTTGGTGGTGGTTGTGGAATGAAGTGGTCGTCACTTGGTGCGTAGTTTGGGTTGCATTTTCGCTGTAGTAGTTGTGCCGTGTCGTTAATTCGCACGGCCCAGGCATACCTCATGTTGTCTTCGTAGTCGTTGTATGAGCACAGCCGTTGTGACATCGTGAGTATGGCCTGCTTGGCGATGTCGTGCATCCTTGTAGTCGGATCTCGTACTAGGGGAGTAAGGCGTCTGTTGGTGATGTTGACTGCCATTCTGAAGTTGTCATTGAGTCGGTAGTGGTTTGCAAAGTCGCCCATGTAGTTTCCACGTGGAGGTTGTGGTTGGTTGGTCGCCCGATGCGCTCGGACTTCAACGAGTCGATCTCCACCTTCCTGCCCAAGAAGGTCGAGGAGGAGGAGGGGGAGGACGTCGTGAGGGCGCCGGAGAAGACGCGGCCCCTGTCGCTGAGGAACACGGGCGCGAAGGTGGTCTCGGCGGCCCTGAACCGCCAGATGGTCCGCCCAGTAGCTGCTGCGACGGCGCGTTCCCAGTGGGTCTTCGTCCAGGGCCAGAACTTCCTGGAGAACGTAGTGGAAAAGGACAGCGCGGCGCATTGCTGGCATGGCGGCCGCGTACTTCGAGGAGCCGTCAGCCGGTGCAGACCCCCCGCAGGGGGAGAATGAGCCCGGGCCGCCCGCGCCCTCAGAGTCATAAGCCTCCTCGGACTACCAGGTGTCGTCGAACGACAGCGACCAATCGGACCTCGAGAGGGCCCCAGAATCGGTTCACCGAACCCCCCCCCCGAAGGGTCTTGAGGGGTGGGTTTCCCAGGACGGCGTTTTTGGCGCCCGGCGGCCCTCCGGCGGCTCTCCGGCGGCCCGGCCCGAGCCAGCGGCGCCGCCCGCGGCGCCGACCGCAGCAGTGGAGGAGGTACCAGACGGGGAGATCGACGCCCCAGGTGGACGGGCGAAGGCTAGACTGGTGGACTTCGCGAGCACGTCGTGGAGGAGATGGCGAACGCAGCGGGGACCAGGACCACCGCCTCGCGAGGGCGGACGAGCTGGTGCTGAAGGACCTCCCTGGTAGACCCGCGGCGGGCCCTGGACCCGCTCCTGTGGAGCTTCGGCTTCTGCCAGGCCTTCCCGTCGCTGGCGCCTGACTTCCCGTGGCTGGTGCTGACTGCACGGGGGATGCCACGTGGTCTCTTCGATGGCCTTCTCTCTGCGGGCGTGATGCGGGGGGGGGGGCCCGGGCAGCGGCTCGCTCTTCGCGCTGGTGGCCCACGGTTTCGCCGTGGCGATGGAAGTCGAGCTGGAAGCGAGGAAGCTGGGGCCTGCGAGATGGCGGGCCGACGACAGCGGCACGATCACCTTCAACCGCGAGGGCCCGAAGGTGCTGGCGCGCGTCTTCCGGCGGGCGCGCGCGCTGGCGCGGCGGTGGCGGGCCCGTGGAGTTGGGGCCTCTTGGGGGCCGCTTATGGGCTTCTTGGGGGCCTCTCGGAAACATCTTGGCTGTTCGGGGGGCCTCAGACTCTGAACCCCTCTTGGAACCATCTTGGAAGAGCTCGAGCAAAGAAGGGGGTTCCTTGATTAGCCCCCCCAACTTCGGAAGCCCTCAACGTCGCCTCTTGAGCCCGTCTTGGAGCGCTCTTGGGGCCGTCTTGGGGCTCTCTTGGGCCTTTCTTGGGGCTTTGGGGGTTCTCTTGGAGCCATCTTGAGGCTTCGGAA